GGTATGACCAGGAGGGCGAACCGTCCTCTGTTAACCCGTTCAAGAAGTTTCGCAGACAGCCCCGACGCACCAATTCTATCCATCTGGAAAACCGACTCACCCCCGTCTTGTCCGAAGGCGGAGTACGCTTATCCGAGGAGCGTCGGCGACGGAGAGACATGACTGATGGCCTGGTCGGCCCTGAGCATGCGGACAGCTTCCCTCCTCAGTCTGCTGGCACTGATTTGGTTGGACGCGACAGCAATGACAAAGTCGGCACCGACCCTTCCATGCATAGTCAAGTTCCCATCAATGTTCCGCGCCAGGATGAGCCCGAAGACCTGCAGGGCCCGCGGAAGAGAAGGACCTTCTTGAGCAACACCTTCAAGCCCGAAGACGATCAGTTGACCACTGATTCGGGCAAGCCGATGAAGAAGAAGCATAACTTCACCGTCATGGGACAGCTGAAGGCTACGATCTTCAATTCTTGGATTAATGTTTTGCTTCTCGCCGCGCCTGTTGGAAGTAAGTAGCTCACCAGAGTTCTAATCGGCAGTACTGACTCTGATAGTTGCGTTGAATTATGTCAATGGTGTCAGCCCAGTGGCTGTCTTTGTGGTTAATTTTATTGCGATCATGTAGGTCTTCGCTCCCCTGTGCGACTTCTCAGCTAACATGAACAGTCCCCTTGCAGCCATGTTGAGTTACGCGACAGAGGAGATTGCCATGCGGTATGTTGATCCGAAGTTCTGACTGGATCGTTCTAATGAAGACACAGTACGGGAGAGACAATTGGAGGTCTTCTCAATGCGTCATTCGGGTAAGTTCTATTCGCCATCTACATTTTTCTGATCTAACCTGGTGCAGTAACGCGGTCGAACTCATTGTTGCCATTATCGCTCTGGTCGACAATGAAGTCACCATCGTCCAAACGTCTCTGATTGGAAGTATGCTCTCTAACCTGCTTCTGGTCATGGGCATGTGCTTCTTCTTTGGTGGTATCGACCGTCTCGAGCAACACTTCAATCCCGTGGTTGCTCAGACTGCCGCTAGTTTGCTAGCGTTGGCCGTGGGAAGTTTGATTATTCCCACGGCCTTCCACGCTTGGTCCGATGGTGAGTTTCGAAGAATCGTTCGTCTGACGCAGCTAACAAATTCCAGCTGGCGATACGGGAGTCGCACCCCTGTCACGAGGTATGTGCCTTACCAAAAGTGGTCGTATGTAAGCTTACATTTTGCAGGCACCAGTGTCATTCTACTGGTCGTTTACGGATGTTACCTATTTTTCCAGCTCAAATCGCACACGGAAATTTACAACGCCCCCAGCCCCAAGGTGGAGAAGAGACGGCAAAAGGTGAACGAAGGTGATGCCAGCCGTGGTATCGCGCAGATCGGCAAGATGTCCGCCTCCATGGCGGGTGAGCATGCGCAGAACGTGAAATTGCAGGAACCGGACGATGAAGAGGAAGAGCCTCAGCTGAGCGTCCTCGTGGCTGTCCTGACCCTCGTTATCTCCACTGTTTTTGTTGCTCTGTGCGCTGAATTTATGGTAAGCCACCCTTTTCTCTCTGTCTTTTAAGTATGTAACTAATTGTTTAGGTTGATTCGATCGACGCCCTCACAACGCAAGGCCACATCTCTGAGACCTTTGTCGGATTGATCCTTCTGCCTATTGTGGGTAATGCGGCTGAGCACGCCACCGCCGTGACTGTGGCATGCAAGGACAAGATGGATCTGGCCATTGGTGTGGCGGTCGGATCCAGCATGCAGATTGCGCTATTGGTGCTTCCGTTGATCATCGTGATTGGATGGGGCATGGGTAAGTTTGATTGAATAGACGGACATGATGTGATACTGATAGAAGCAGGTAACGACGACATGACTCTGTATTTCGATGCCTTCCAAGTTATTCTCCTTTTCGTGGCTGTTCTTTTGGTATGTCTCTCACCCTCCGCTACATGTCGGCATCAACTAACCCTCGCAGGTCAACTACCTCATTGCCGACGGAAAGTCGCACTGGCTAGAGGGCGTATTGTTAATGATGATGTACCTCATCATAGCCGTGGCCGCCTGGTTCTACCCCTCCAAGACTGAGCCCAGCACATAGGGCAGCCTGCGATGATCATACTAGTGGGAGCAGGATGAATATTTTCTTCTTCGACGTGTATAATATTGTCATGATGCCTTCATTTCTGGATTTTAATTTTTATGTGATGCCGGATACCTACTGCATGACTCGTCTTATTTAGTTTGTCGATAAAAAGTACTGCTGATGGAAGATACATTACATTTTACTAGTGTCTAGCTGATTCTATAATCGATAATTCATTAGTTGGGATGCCCCTAGCTTTTTTATTAGAGTGCACGCCGGGTCTAACCCTAAGGACAGCAGGTCCAGAATTAGTGAAGTGTAGCCCTTCATTTCGCCACATATTGAATGTCTATCCCATGGAATACATTGCATGACTGGTATCAGTGATCAACCACACAAGGCATCGATGAATTAGTCCGCGATTGAATAGATGTTAAAGCCCAATTGAATTACTACCGACCTCTTTCTTAGATATAAAAAGACTAACATTTCCTCTCCTCCATATCTTCTCCCTACATACATCCTTTCCTAGCAAAAAATTCTATACCATCGAACCTAGTATATAACATTATTGATACTAAGCATGATCCATGCCATAATCCACTACTATACTCAACCAGAGCAGAATCTCAACAGTCTTAGACATTTCAATCCACAGAGTATTTACTATCTAATCGTTCACATATATTGGACCCTATGTTCTCACACATTTATCCAATCAAATAGATCCACTGTCACTTGCAACATCTTTCTCCAGCGAGTGGTCCACATCTATCTGGAACCTGGTCCCGAAGACGAAGTTCTAAACTTTGTCTACTTTACTGCCTCGAATAGTATATAGAGAGCACAACCGACATATAACGGTTAACAATACTATATGCAAACATACAATGGACGGAAGATACGCCAGAAAACTAACCTACTCTCTGTGGTCCTATGAAGCAGCCGGATAGACAGACCCCTTCAGACAGCTCCAAGCAACCAGATCTGAATTGCGATAACCGTTGAACCTTGAAATGATGATTTTCTTTACTTTCCACCTGCCGGCGTTGCCAAAATGCGCACTCTGGTTGCTCTTACACGGTGGAAGTCTGCTATGTGATTGGCAATCATTTCCAAAATGCAACACATAATGGTTGCCCTAATAAAGTCCAAATAAGCCTATACATATCGTTATCTGAAGACCCGAATGCTGCTGCTTCTGTAAAACCTCCCACTCCCTAAGGGGGTATATCGGTAGCGATATCAATGCTGGAAGCGGCTAAAGATGCAAACTGATTGTCTAGTTATAACTGACTAGTTAGTCGCCCATCACATACACTGAATGTGGTATGGCTGTCCTTGGCTTTCCCTTCAAGACATGGCTCGGGGGCGAATGGGTGGGTACATGTGCTTTTGGAAGAACCATAATGATATGTCCCCTACACCAGTTCGTATCTATCTATTGTTATAGCTTACAGCTATAGAACGATACTAACATTGGCTTGGTATACAGTTACTGCAAGAAATACAAATATGGACATATTTTCACAGCCGCCGTCTTGTTAGCTACACTTGAGAAAGAAATCCCAGTACTGCGGGATCGATAGCATATCTCTGGAATCGATCTGTGTGTCTAAACTGCGTTATTATTTTGAAGCTTCTGCCATAATATCCTGTGGATCCGTGTTATGCCAAGTGCGCGAGAAGCCAAATCCTGCACAAACCTGATGGCGAGCTCCTCGAAAAGTTGGACTGTCTTCTAGTCTCTCATATGAATGGACCTGGACTGATCTGTTGACTTAGACGAGCTTTTACAAGGTCTAAATTCGTCATCTGATGCGCAGAATGGGTGAGAAACCCAAGTGGGACAACCGACCTCTTAAGGCACCTGCGATGGTCTATGCCTCACGAGTATGAAATGGACATAGTCTCGGCGGACTTACGATGAAACCATGTTAGGTTTGGGAACTACGGTTGCTGTGGGAATTTGCTGGTACTTTGATCTAAAACTCAATGGTTAGTCCATTGTCAGCTGTGAGAAAGTCTCTCGACTTGATAGCTTCTTTAACCCCCCTTACGAGGATGATTCGTGCATACAAGGCCTAGCGTGCATTGGATCCACAAACCATATATCAACCACTGCGTTGAATATGGTCTTTGTTCACATGGTCGAAGTATTGTTATGGAAGGGCGGAACATACCGCAGAGACCAAGGGATCTTCGTCTTTCGTGCTGTTGTTCAATGCAGCAGGTTTGTGAACTGACTGTATCTAGACACACAGTCTCTGCCTTATAGAAGCGCGTCTGTTGCTATGAAAGGGATGTAACGTTGCGCGAGGAGCAAACAAGTGAGAGACCAGACTGAACCATTTCTTGCACACAGTCCGGAGAATTATGCGTCGTCAGTTTTCCGCACGCAAAGACACCCATGAAACGGAATGGACCTACTGACACCATGATGAAATAGCGCTAACCGACTAGACATCCACAGGTATTCAGGGAGTAGCCACCGAAATCGCCTCGATTATCGATTGATATAGCCGAGACATTTCCTTGAAACAAAAGAGAGCGCAATCTATAGCCCAATGACAGAAACATGCTACCTACTTGTGGAGGAACTACAGCAACGGACAGCGAGCCTGAACTGAATAGGAATCGGTCTAGGAGACCTAGATACTCCGAGCAGTGGACGATTTAGTCGGTCACTTACAACTGCGACTCTTATGAGATTCATCAGCGAAACAAAATGTTCGCATGAAGAGCATGATATGCGGAAAGCATAAATGTTCAAAGACCTCGGATATTCACAGCAAACATACAGTCTTTTATCGCCTTCACAAACATAGATAATGGCTAACTGGTCGGACATAACATACATTAATCAGAACGCTCAAAAATTATCTTGGGCATCATAGAATCACCGAGATCATGGAAGCCGGACGTCGGTATGCGTGCCCCGGGCGTATGCATCAATACAACCAAGACCTGCGGCCAAGGTATCACGCTGCACCGAGCCGCGCACACGATTATTATGGAGGCGCAGGCCATAAGTGCAGACAAGAACCAGGCATTTAGCCGACATCACCGCCACGGCCAGAAATTTTCCGTTGTGCATGAATATGCGCTGCAAGACATCCAGGCGGACGAGGAAGAAAGGGTGAGCATTTCCAAGCTATTCCGAGAGATTTTGGGCGAGGCAGATGAGGGCGCACATGCCATCCATCAATACACCCTCTTGGTGTGGCAATGTGGCTATCGGATGTAAACGATCCTGGAGGGATTGTCGAAGCATATCATTGCGAAAGGCATTGTTGCGTCCCATTGGGAACTTCCAAAGATTACTGACCGAAGCCAAAAGACTCTTTTACAACTATGATAGCTAAGATAGGGTTCCAAGAGCTCTCAGTCTTTCATTTACAGACAAAGAGTTTGAGATAGCGTCCGTTCTTTTGCCCATTGTTGGCTGCGCATTGACGAACTTAAGGACCAGCGAAGTTCCATTTCACCTCTGCTTGAGAAAATAGAGTATGTTTTATTTTATCTGGCTGTGAGAAGCACGATAGTGCTGACCATTACTCAGTTCTATCACGATGGGAGACATATGGAATTCATTTCAAAGATCAGGATGTTAAGAGTTAGCCAAGGATGACAGCCCACCACAGGATGAGATATCTGCAGAGATCGCGAATTCGAACTCATCTATTTGAGCTAACGAGGCGACAAGGGATTACAAACATCGTCAGAATTGATGGCTCACCTTTCTCGCGCCAGCGGCGCTACCCACCACCATCGCCAGATTGCTCCTGTCAGGCTTATGTCACATATTGTGGGGTTGTGAAACTCTAATATGCAATACCGATGCTATGTGGGAATGTTTCTGGTACTCGAAGCAGCGCCACCTCTGCGAAGGGTAAGCCGACTACTTGCACGAATGCGCGCACTTATATTATAGTGGAAACCCTATCCCTGGCGACTGTCGTTGCAAGGGCTGTAAACGTTCGTCGGACTCGCCCTTGTGGCCTGGTATTAGATATCGGTGTCCTCATTACCTACAATCGTCTAGCGGAAAGTAAAACGCGTTAACAAACTCCGACGGAGAAAGTTGAGAGCCGGGTGGCTTTGATACAGTCACTGACAGCGACAATCTCGCTTGATATATCAGGCTGTGTTTAACATAGAACAAACCTACCAATTCCCAAAAGAAAGAGGCAGGTCGCTATATCGACGAGAAATCTACGGATTGAGGTCAAATTGCCATTTCGTTGCACATGCCATTGCCATCCCTTCGTCTGCGTGAATTTGAGAATCTCCACAGCGAGGAAATTATTATCTGTAAAAAAGATAGGGGGACTACGCCCACGTATTTGTTCATTTCTCATAATAAAGATATCTGGCATCTGTCAAAGGGGGAAGACTAGGCTGGTTCCACCAAGGCAATCTGCAAGTAAGTCCTGACTGGCAATGGGGGAATCTTGACATCTGCTCGATCAGAATTTATTCACAGGCGAAGCAGGATATGACGTGCTTTCCTGATCTATGACTCAGTTTCCAGCATAAAGAGCACACCAATCAAAGCACCCAGCGATGCCGGTGTCCTGGAATAATGTTCGTTGGATAATACAATCGGGATAGAATACTGACCTCGACATAGCGAACCTGGCAATCCTGGTCTATAGCAAGCGGGATTGCGGCTCCTTGGCATTGAAAAAGTCAGAGATATAGCGAAGCATTGTGTTGATTATTGACGTTTTCATCCTGTCCAGCCCGAATGTGGAGACATCAGCGAAGGTGACTATAGATTTATAGTTTGTCCATACTATTTAATTGAGGCTATAATTGGAAATATAATTGTGATGGGATGTCCCGTGCGAGCAAAATTCATAAACGAGCCGTAACCGTAATTCCAACAAAACGTCATACTAAGTAACAAGCTGATTAGCTTCATTAAAGTTGCTCTTCGTCCAGTTTCGTGTAGTAAGTTGAGCCACAGCCTCACTAACCCCAGCGCTTATGCGGGTGGTCGCCTGGCTCGGCTATCATGCTCTTCTGAACCCTGCATCACAGCCCCGCCGTCCTTACGCAGCCCTAATATACCTTTACGCCAACTAGAACACACCCACTTGCCTGAACTCGTTGACTATACCAGGTGGATTACTTCAAATCAAGCATCAAGGGAGGCTTATCCTCTAAGGCCCGGGAAAGCCTAGATCCCGCCTCAGAGTGGGCTAGAACTAGTAGAGCTTCAGCCCCAGCACTATTTTTTCCAGGGCGCAGGATGAGAAGTAAATAAGGGCGTTGTGTTCTATACAAATCCAGAGACCTAACATGTCTCAATAGCTTTTCCGACTAAAGATAGTGTCAGTATCCTTGCCCTTATGGAGAAACTCTCTACTGGCTAGTCACAGCGATCGTTAAAGCATGATCTCACATTTCGTTTTTTCAATCACGAAAATAAGGTTATTTTCACCCAATACCGACACATAAATATTCATCAACGAAAAGAAGAAAAATCTAGAACGAAAGTCTCCTGTGAAAAGGAAGGCTGAATCTAGGCCCATGATTGGCAGCTATAGCCGTTATAAAAGCACATGATATAGCCTCAACTTGCGTGGCAAATCCTGCAGACCCCGGCTAGAATGATCGACCGCCCTATTGTCCACAGTTTATCTATCGGCTACCTTTTTCCTCTTCAAGGATAGAATCGCGCCCAAGGCCCACTGATGAGCTAACCTTGCATATCGATCCTTCCGGTTGCGCGTTCCGCCAATGATAGGTGGCGTCTGCACGATAGAAGCACAAAACAAGCTTGATCGATGGTTCCCGATGTGCTGTGCGGGTGATCCCCGATGGGTCATCGGGTGAACTGGAGATAACTCGGGCCTTGTCCTTATTTTGTTTGATACTGTGCCCTGCATCTTAGTGATCAGGGCGCATTGGTGTGCCTGAGTAGACTCGGTCTGGTTTCGAATCAAGCTGTACTATAGTCTGTGCTTTACAGAGAGTTCAAGCGCTCAGTCGAATGTAAGTTTCCGTCGTCTCGTGATGGGTTGGTGTGATGGATAAGTGTGGAAGTTCCATTGACATCCTGTCACTCAAGTAGATGCCCTAGGTATGAAAAGGAAGCGACAATATGCAGTCGAACTGAAATAGCAACCGCTCAGGCCCCGGCTCTTTCTGTTGTGGGACTTCAGTCACTTGCTTCGCTAGCCGCGCCACAAGGAATATAGTATAATGGGTGAATGGATGACTGCTGTAAGGCAGTTATTTCCTGCAGGTGCTGGAATAATCCGGAGTAAGGTTGTTCGAATACCGATGCAAATCCCGAGACACACCGAACCTTATCGGAAGTGGATGCGCTTCCGCGGTTCGTGCCTGAACTTTTTTCTTCCAAGTGACAGGCGCAGAGTAAATGTTGTGATTCTATCTTGAAGTTTAAATACTGTTAGACCCATGGATTGGACAAGGGAAATTCTCTTTGCTCTGGTGTTTAGTCACTTAGGAAGTGGGTATTTACAACTATGGGAGACAATATGTCAGACTCAGACACACTAGACCATGAATCAGAGCGGGAGTACGTATTGATGTCTTGATCACTATTTGCAACAATCACTGACCGAAAGACAGAGAGACAGAGAGCTTCGACACTGAACCTCATCCAAATTTGTACAGACATGGTCGGCGCTATTCTTTGACACATTTGGAGCAGCATCCGTGGCCGATTGACGAGGTGAGTCCCTTACCTGCATTGGAATGCGGGAGCTAATAAGTCGAAGATAGAGAAAGACAGATTAGGTATGGGTATCTATCTGATACGCTATAGCTTTCTAAGCTAATAATTGAAATAGAGGAACAACACGTTTTGCTGCGTGAGCTTTTCGAGGATAGATTATACCTCGCCCCTATAGAGAGTCCGCGAAGCGTTCTTGATATCCGCACCGGCACTGGCTGCTGGGCTATGGAATGTGGTACGTCCAAGCCATACCTTCTAATGTTCTCCATCCAACTACTAAAATATCATACAGCAGAAAGATATCCTTCGTCGACTGTAAGTCTGACTATGGCCTGCGTTGAAGAAGAGAAACTGACCAGTTAGGTTCGCGGCATTGATTTAGTAAATATGCAAGATGAATGGTATGTCTTCCTTGTGGGGCTTGGCGCATTTCACTAATGATATAGGGTACCACCGAACTGCGAGTTTTGGGTCGACAACCTCTGCCAACCAGGTTGGCATACCCAATACACAGATATTGACTTTGTTCATATCAATCAGATTCAGGGTGATCGCCAGCTTTTGTCGCTCCTACTGCAAGGTTCATATAGGTAAATGCTCTATCAGTAGGGATTTTGTCCGCCAGACTAACTCATAATATTAGCTGCTGCGCTCCAGGCGGTTGGGTGGAGATACGTGATATGAGAGTGCAGCTGGATAATCCTGGAGAAGATAGCCCATTCCACAATTACATCCGGGAGATGGCGACAGCCCAGGCCAGAGATGGTCGCCAGATGGATCTTCCTCTTCACTTCGGAGCGGAACTCACTCGGCATGGATTTACCAACATCACTGAACGTAATTACGACATACCTTTATGCACTGAGGGCCGCGATAAACTGAAGGAAAGAATCATACAAAACTGGACGACAGGGCTGGAAGGGTACAGCTTCACACTACTGGAGAAGCATCTTGGGAAGAACTTCACGGAAACTGTGCTAATGTGCGCTTCTGCGCGTCGGGCACTAAAGGGTAAGATTGAGGGATATTTGCAAATGTCGGTGAGCTTCCTCCGTACTGACTGGCATACTTCTAACACTTCGCAGAAAAGTCGTGTATGGACAGAAACCGGGTTAGATGAGTTATAGAGCCAATGAATGCAATGAGATTTCTGTATTATCAGGACAATATGTTGTGCAGTATATGTCTCTTAACCGCGATAATCGCACTATTTCATAGAATGTAAGGATGCAGCTGGTCCAAGAAATCTTGCTCATCCCGCGTCGGGCATCTGCTGTCTCAGGAACTATATAGCTTCTAACTATTCTCGGCATATCTCCCGTGATGTGTCACAGTAAAGTTCCACCACCGGCGCATGTGACACAACAAACCCTCACTAATGCACTTACGGATAAATCTCTTCAACTGAACGCCTTACCTAAAAAGAGAAGGTTTTCTTATTATCAAATTAGGAATTGGTTTCTCATTCATATAGGTGATTAAGGCTCATGGCATTGATGTATTCTTAGATCAGCACTACAGATAGCCTTATGACTTTCTTACAACGATATCCTTCATATCTCTTGAAGAATATTACGGGTCATATTTCTGACAACAAGGTTATACCAAATTTCCTATCTAATCTTTCGGCGTCCAAAAATCGGCTATGCAGTCGGGATCGGAGAGACTAAAGAGAGCTCAACCCGGCCTGTATCTGCAGTTACTATTACTATCTATTCTTCGGGAGAACTCTATTTAGTAATATACAAGCAACATCATCGGCATTCAAAAGAAATTTTTCCTGAAATATTGATTGCTACTCCCAATGGAAACACTATTAAATTGGGATTGCCAAGTTATAGGGTTGAATGATCTCGAAATGCCTCCATCAGCGTGCTTATTTTACCACACGGGAGCAGCATACCCTTGGAAAATTGAAACAAACTAAAATGCAATGGAGCAAAGAAAGTAAAATAAGAAAAGCGCTAAAGTGGGTATCTTTTATGGACACAAATACCGAGGTTCCGGAGAATAGAAGGTAGATCGAGATAGTGCTATTCCCAGCAGCGGATCGACTCCGTCCCGAACACGGATGCGCTCCGCTCCTCACATTAACCGATAAACATAGTAGTCATACTATACCTACAAAATGAACATCAACATTCCCAAGCCACACCACTACAAACACCACTATATTCTATATCATCCATTTGAATAACTCCATCATGACTCTATCCACACCTCAACTCACCACACCCACCATAACAACGCCCCCAACCTGGGCCACCCTCCCAAAAACCCTCCGCCAAACACCTCCCTCAAACCTCACATCCCACACGATAAACCAAAAGCGCGGCAGACCCCTCGACTCCTTTCTCGAAGGTCCTATCTACATTCAATCCCTAAACCTCCTCTTTCTAACCGACATTCCCTACGGACGAATCTTCACCCTCAATCCCACCACCGCGCAATGGTCCCTCTTCCTCCAATACGATGGCGAACCCAACGGACTCGCCTACCACCACATCACAAAGAAAATCCTAATCGCCGACTTCAAAAACGGTATTCTGGAGCTCGACCCCGTCACAAAAAATCTCCGCACTATTATCTCCCGCTACCACGGCGAGAGACTCAAGGGCCCGAACGATCTGGTGGTTGATTCTAAGGGAGTGGTGTATTTCACCGATCAGGGGATGACGGGGCTGCATGATGCGACGGGACGGGTGTTTCGGTTGATTCTTGAAGAAAACAATGGTGAGGGGGTTGATGGTGAAGTTGGTGGAAGGCTAGAGATGATTATATCGAATGGGCCATCGCCGAATGGGTTGGTGTTGAGTCGCGACGAGTCGGCGCTGTTTGTAGCCATGACGAGAGATAATTCTATCTGGTATGTGCCGTTCATGTTGGATGGGTCGGTGCAGAGGGTAGGGAGGTTTGCGAGTTATTATGGGATAGGTGGGCCGGATGGGATGGCGATTGATAGTGAGGGGAATATTCTAGTGGCGCATTCGACTTTAGGGAGGGTGTTTGTGCATGATAAGAGTGGGGAGATGAAGATAGTCATTAAAAGTGAGAAAGGGGCGAGTACAACGAATCTGACGTGGGGTGTGGGGGAAAGTGGTAGTTTGGATACGTTGTATATTGTGGAGAGTGAGATGGGTGAGATTCTGAAGGTGGATTGGCATTGTAAGGGGTGGTTGGTTAAGGGGTTGGAGTAGGTAGAATTGTGTTCGTGATATTGGTGTGGGAGGTAGCTATGGTGTGTTGATATTGAATGCTGACCCAGATAGTAGTACTCTTGCGTCAAGCGAACTCTTTCTGCTCCGCACTAGCCACTTCATACTCGTTTTTCTTTTCATCCTCATAGCTTACAGAAGTCCAAACATCCCCCTTCGGCAGTCGTCTAGCCATGGGAACAATGTCCCAGATCGTACGGGCTTCTTTGAAAACCCCATCGATCAGTTCGAGGTTACGGTTCATGGTCTCAGGGAAAAAAGGAAGAACAACCAGTGGAACACAGGCACATGTTGCAGCAAAAACAATGTAATATCTCCATCCAATAGTGTCCAGTGCAGTTGGAGTGATCATCGTGATGATAAAGTTCCACAGCCAATGGTTTGCGGTAGAGATGGAGGACATGGCAGCGCGCAGATGGACCGGGGCAATTTCCGTGCAGTACAGGAAGTTGCCACCCAGAAAGCCAATTGGATAGAAGAAGTTGAATAGGAATATGAACACTGCTGCAGTGATGGATGCAGCATGGTCGGAGGCAGGGAAGCTAGTTGAAACAGCCATAGCGATCATGCAAATTGACATGCCAGTTCCGCTCACCACGAGAATCACCCGTCGTCCGAGACGATCGACTGCAGCGAATGAGATGAATGAACAGAAGAACTTAAAGGTGAGGGAACTGGCGGCGACAATTGCCGGGATATCTCCGGTGAGATGTAGATTCTCTTGGAAGATCTTGGTGGTGTAGATCGAGATCAGATTGCCACCGACAAGTTGCTGCAGCGTTTGGATGGCGATGCATAGGGCAAATCGGTAAAGGTATCGGTTCTGGTCTCCTGTGCGGATGAGTTCTCGGAGGGACAACTTAGGAGCCGTATCGAGGGAACTATTGATATGCGATATCTCGGCCCGGACATTCTCGTCATCGGTGGACCTGCCGTTCAGCCTCGCTAGGGCATCGGTTGCTTCCTCTAAACGGCATTTCTGAACTAACCAGCGCGGGGATTCGGGAAGAGTGAAAATAAAAATACAGATAGTCAAAGAGAAGACGACAGGAATGGCTAGCGAAAGCCGCCACTGCAGTGGTAGGGATGAAGCTTTGCTGGTTCCCAGATTGATCCAACTGGACAGGACGAATCCCACGCAAATGAAGATGCCAGCGGTGATGACCTTACGGCCTCTTTTACCAGCTGAGGAGCTCTCAGATTGCCATACAGGAACGATGACACTCAGTTGGCCAACCCCAACGCCAAGTATGATACGGCCCACTGTAAACTGGGCAAGAGAGAACGCAGTACATTGGAGGATCTGGCCCACTGCGGCAAAAGCACCAGCGATAAAGATGCTGCGTCTTCGACCCACGGCATCACTGAGAAGGGAGCAGGATAAGGCGCCAACAAGAGCGCCTAGTTGTAAACACGCATTGATGAGACCCTCGATTGTCGAGTTCCGGGCTTCCGTTGCCCCATGGGTGTTAACGGTATCGATCTGGGGAAAGTAGTGTATCACATCAGGAAGCTCAAGAAGAGCCGAGAGGCCGGCCTGGTTATAGCCATAGAGGATGAAGGCTGGGCCAACGACAAGGAATATTTGGGCGTATTGGATTGATTTTGGTGTTTGCCAGAACATCGTGGGTGTGACTGGAAGATATATTTCCTTTAAAAGACCGAGCGATACTATATACCAATGAATAGCCCCTTTAAAATTATGCCGCGAGTATCCCAAGAGCACAACAGCACATAATACTCTTCCTCATGTCCTTCTTATAAGCTTGCCTCCTCGTTGATATAGAAGCACAACCCCGCCTGCGGATGGTATCCGCCAACTCTGAATCACCCCACACCCCATTACCCCGGATTAACATTTACAAATAACTTAAAGAAGAGCGCCCCGTAGATACCCAGTGCCCCACAAAGCTTCGAGTTCCCCTGTATCTTATGATGTGGGGATGGAGACAGTCTGGCGTGATGTCCGCCCAGGTGAACGGGTCGCTGCCGCATTCGACGGAGCTGATCCGCTGACTTCGGCTACGATGGTTTGCCGAATGCCATCATTGTCATCCTTATAAATCCCACACCAGAACAGCGTCAATGCGAGAAAACACTTATCCGAACTTGTTTCAAAGGATCTTGTAAGAAAACATGACCGGAAACATGGAAGCAACAGAGCCTGAGAACCAGGATTACAACCTCCAGCAACCAATCACCTCTACCACAGGTTTGCGACAAGGACTGACATCTTACGGGGATGCCCATTTCTCTCTGTTCCTGCGGAAGGTATTCATCAAAGCATTAGGATACTCAGAGGATGCGCTATCACGTCCTATAATTGGCATAATTAACACCGGCTCTGGATTCAACCCCTGCCATGGCAACACTCCGCAGTTGATCGAAGCCGCCAAGCGAGGCATCCATCTTAACGGTGGCATTGCCATCGACTTCCCAACCATTAGTCTACACGAGGGATTTTCGCATCCGACAAGTATGTTCCTTCGCAATTTGATGAGCATGGATACGGAGGAAATGATCCGTGCTCAGCCGGTCGATGCTTGTATTATGATTGGAGGTATTTCTCCTATTCCTTTTGCGGCGAGTGATGCTGAAAATGCCAGGTTGCGATAAGACTGTTCCAGCCCAAATCATGGGAGGAATTTCAGCAAACAAGCCCATTTTGCCGTTGTTGACTGGGCCAATGATGTCAGGAAGTCACAGAGGGAAGCGAATTGGAGCCTGTACCGACTGCAGAAACAACTGGGCTTCGTTTCGAGCGGGAGTTATAGACGTCGAAGAGATTACCTCCATTAATGAGGAACTCGCGCCAACGGTTCGCTCAACCAGCCTTCTCCACATAAATCACAGCTCATTGTTTATAGATCGGAACGTGTGGTGTCATGGGCACAGCAAGCACAATGGCGTGTATCACCGCCGCCTTAGGACTTACTCCTTTGCAGGGCGCTTCAGCACCAGCTGTTTCAGCTGCAAGGCTGCGTATAGCGGAACAGACAGGTGCTAACGCAGTAGCCGCTGCGAAAGAGAAGAGAACACCACGACAAATTCTGTCAGCCGACTCATTCTACAATGCCGCTGTTGTTCTCCAAGCCATTGGTGGCTCAACAAATGCCATGGTTCACCTGATGGCCATTATTAACCGACACCCTGATCTCATCGGCACAATCAACCTCAACACACTTGATGAAATCGGCCGAACCACCCCCCTCCTAGTGGACTTGAAGCCCAGCGGAGACAATTATATGACCGACTTCCATAACGCTGGAGGAATGCTATGTCTTCTGCATCGCTTGCGACCTTTACTTCGTGAAGCCGCGATGACTATTACAGGCGAGACGCTAGGAGACATACTAAACCGAACGCCGTTCCGGGACTTCGAGTACTCGCGTAAAATTATCCGAACACTCTCCGACCCGCTCTGCCTGTCTTCTTCATTGGTCGTTGTGGCGGGCAATATAGCCCCCAATGGGGCCGTTATCAAGGCATCCGCTTCCAAAGATAAACGCCTCCTACGGCATAGAGGTCCTGCAGTGGTGTTTGAGAACCCCCAGGATCTTGCTAAGAGACTGGATGATCCTGAGCTTGAGGTGACTGCTGATTCTGTACTCGTTCTGCGAGGCATCGGACCGATTGGTAACCCCGGGATGCCTGAAGCGGGTATGATTCCGATTCCGCGCAAATTGGCAACCCAGGGAGTGTCAGATATGTTGAGAATATCGGATGGAAGAATGTCTGGCACGGCTGGGGGGACAATTATTTTGCATATTTCTCCTGAGTCTGCAGTGCCAGAGTCGCCGTTCGGTGTTATTAAAACGGGCGATATTATTGTCTGTGATATAGAGGCTAGGTTGCTGCAGCTGGATATTAGTGAGGAGGAGCTTCAGGAAAGAATTAAACAGCGAAAGCAAGCACTCACAGAGTCGGAGGAGTCGGCGTGGACGAAGAGACAGCATACAAGGGGATATAGGGGGCTTTATGAGCGGGAGGTCAACCAGGCGCATCTGGGAGCTGACTTTGGGTTCCTGACTGCAAATGGGCCAGCCAGTGTGTAGATGATGTACGACGACAAACTTCGACTCAGGTAGCTATGTATAGTGTACGTCACCGAATGAAGAGATAGATTCACATGTGAGGCAATGATTCAATCTCCCAATTCCGTGGGTCATGAGACGAAAAAGTTAGTCAGTTTAGTCACTCTGCCCTTAATTATCTCAGTCTCACAAGTACAAACAAAATCAAACAGCCATTCAAGCAACAGACGTCAAAAGCTCCTCCATACCCTCATCGACCCCAGACCGCTTCCTAATAAGCAACCGCGTAGCAGGATCAGGATACATATCCGAGTCAATAGTGAAGTTCCTAGGCCTGCCAAACCCATCGGGGAACCTCAGATCATAGCAAATGAGCATATGCGCCAGCATCATCTTCATTTCATTAGCGGCATAGAATCGGCCAGGACATGCGAACTTCCCGTAGCCAAATGCCAGATTGTTATAGTCAGTCATGACGAAGAGGTGTCGTTGGGCATTCTCAGGTTGCTCGCGCAGCCGCGAGTACCGGAAGGCGTCGAAGGAAGTCGGCGCATCGCCTGGCACTCTAGAGGGATCGTTCAACATGGCGTTGGATGGAACCGCGATGCGGGAGCCGACTGGAACGGATATTCCGTTGGAGAGGGTTATTGATTTGGGGAGAATTCGGTTGAAGGTGACTGATATTGTTAGTCATGGGATAGGAAGGGCGGTTGTGACATACGCAGGAAAACGGGATTAAAACGCTGCGACTCTTTCAATAGACTGTCCATTTTGCGCAAGTGGTTGACCGTCAACTTGCCCCAGCCGCCTTCGGCACGTAGCACATCTACCACCTCAGCCCGAAGGGGCTCGAGGTATTGTGGATGTGCACAGAGATCGTAGATAGCTTGAGTCATGGTTAAAAGTTGCGGTATGGAATGGATGTCACGCTTAGAATTAACATCTGCTGGGCTAAGTCCTCGGGCTCTGCTTCCTGGCCGGTGGCTGCATCCATCATCCATTGCAAAATATCTGCAGGCTTAGTGTAGCCTGCCGGCTTTGCAGCCTCGATTTCTCTACGTTCACGTACTATCTCTCCGACTATGCGACGAGAGGTCGCCACATTCTGCCATAGATTGTGGTAGGACGGCAGCAGTGGAGCGACAAGGGGTCTGAGAAAGCGAGGGAAAGAAGCGCAGTGCCATGCCCGTGAGAAAGAGATTCTTGGTGTATTCCACGGTGGCCCTGAGCCACTCTTCATTACGGCCCTGATTGGGCCCAAGGACTATGCGGGAGGTAATGCTAGTGATGATTCGTGAGAGGATTGGCATGATATTGACTGAGGCCAATGCATGCGGCGTGGTTGGCGGATATCACGAGAAGTCTTTTGGAGCCGCGGACTTTGAGGAGGATTGTGGATGTAGTGCATTTTGAGTGGACGGGGAGTGTGGGGGAGGTGGAATATTGCCCATAAAAGAGTATATTGCAGTTCGTAAGTCGGCTTTCTGCTGGGTTCCACTTTAATTATTTCACTCGGTTTTCGTCTCATTCTTACCTTGATCCATTAAAATTTACTGGGAATACGCTGGAATACTATAGCTTGAAGGACCATCACATTGACCATCTATGCGGCGCAGCAATTAAGCCTGGGAGATAAGCTACTCAGCTCCGGTTTTCATTCAAAACTTGTAACAGAATTGAAGGGAAAGAGCAGAAAGGGACTGTCATGAATATTTGTGAGCAAGAAAAAGCAAGAAGAAGTTGAACGAGGGAGGGAGAGAGAGAGAGAGAGAGAGAGGAAAATGTAGGATTGTAACTACGGGGTAACTAGCAACCAAGAACTATGAACATGTGATGGATCTCGTGGAATTCGACAAGACCAGTTAGCTAGTCAGTTAGCTTGTCGAACTGATTTAACTAGCAGAACTAGCAGACGATAATAACCCGGCGTCGGAGAGATGTCCGGTATGGTGGAGCAATTGGATCAGGTCCGTGCATTTCGCGACCGAACGAACATAGGATGACTGGCAGCACTGCAGCAGAGCTGTTGTGACTTGTGCAGCTATGGAAGTTTATGCAGAGGCTGCTAGACTACTTAGATAGGTCTGGACCGAGGGCTAATATCCGACATGCTCGCTTACCCCGAGGGAACGTCAGCCAACCAATTTTTGCATCCCGTCAATTTGGCTTTAACACCAAGCTTCAGGTCTATGCCTGATAAGGGAAAGGTATCATGTCAGGCGTCCCATGTGGCGGCCGCAGGGAAATAAATTGAAATCGTGGTGCCTTCCGGCTGGACGCTGGACGTGTCGAATTTTCCATGGGGAAACACATAACTAGTGGGAAAATCAGGCATTCCACTTCTCATCAGTCATCTCAGATATGAATGGCAACAAACAACAAATCAAAGGGGATAATCAGCCCCTCTCCACTGAAGTTTGGGGGGAGCCAACTTGGGGGCCAAAAGAGCTGACTGGTTCATGGCTTATCCATCCAGCATTCCGATTGCGTTGGTGCCCCCACCCCCTTCCCGGCCATCGGATTTGATTTCCAAATCCCACCATCTCTTGTTATATCAATGGTGTAGAGGTGGGTTGTTATGATAGACAGACCCTCAAAACAAAGCAATAGTAGACCTTGTTTCCTGTTCTTCGACAGAATCCAGTTGGGGAAGTTTATCCCCCCTGAATAACCCCCAAAGTTGCGCTTTCTGACCACCTGGAAATCTGACAACAGCATCCTTCAGCTCTTCTCAGCATCTCTTGGGGCCGATCCCCATCGGATGAACATCTCTTATGCCTCATTAGGCATGGCTGAGCTGCATGTCAGCGGAGTCCCAACACCCAATCCCAATCCTTCAACCCGCTCCAGGCCTGCGAGGCCATCACCATCGCCCGCCTTGCAGCAATGTGCCCCGGTCGCATTCTTTCGTTTCATAATCTCACCCTCGGCCAGCAGTCATCCTTCGTCTCGCAGCTTCTCCCTCCCTTTTTCTCTTCTTTTGCTTCCCTCCCCATCGCAGGCTGTTTAATGCCTGCTGAAGTATCCATGATATGATGCGACCGCTACTTCTCCCCCTATTGGGGGTATTTCTGCAGACCTCTTCTGCATCCAATCCCTATGTAATGAGCTGGTCCTCGCAGGCCTACGGTCCAGATGGCCCGTGGCAGGCCGTATCCGTCGACGTGGGCAGCAACAAGCAGACGGTCGATCTTTACCCCGGTGCCAACTATGCTAGCACGATCCTGATGAGCACTCTCTGCACGAACAAAACTCTGTCATCCACCTGCTACGCCGCTGAAGCAGGCACATTCAACCAAAACACCTCCACCACCGCCTACACCACTCCCAGCTCGTGGGAAACAACATACTGGGCTGTGGAGGGTGGAAGCAAAGAATCTGTGCTCGGCGATGAAGTCACCTTAGGGTCGTTTGTCGTTCCCAATGTGAGCTTCGAAGCCATCTACCAGACATATCAGACTTATCCCAATGGCATTGCCTATCCCGTCTCGGTTGGCAGTCTGGCCCTGGGGGGTCCGTACCTCTCGGATACTGTCTCCAACTCCACCGTTCTCAACATGATTGCCGGGTGGCTTTATTCGTCCAACGACATCCCTTCCTACTCGTATGGAATGCATATCGGGTCAGTAGACCCAGAGATTGCGGGTTCTCTGGTCTTGGGTGGCTACGATAAGAGCCGTGTGATCGGAGACGTGAGTGCCCAAGGAGTAGCGTCTTCGAGTGGACTTTTGGAACTCGAATTGAAGGATATTGGGCTTGGGGTTGCTGCGGGTTCCTCACCGTTCAGCTTCACCAACGAAAGTGGATTGTTTCTTCAGAGCAGTGGCTCCGTCCAGGCCAAGACGGTTCAGATCGATCCGACCAAGCCCTACATGTACCTTCCCCAGGCGACTTGCGATGCCATCACGTCCACCATGCCGATCTCCTTCAACTCTAGCTTGGGACTATATTTTTGGGATACCAGCAGCAGCGATTATTGGAATATCACGTCTTCTGCAGCATACCTCTCCTTCGTCTTCAACAAGAATGGAGTGAACAATCAGAATATTACCATCAAGATTCCCTTTTCCCAGCTCAATCTTACGCTCCAAGAACCGCTGGTTGATCAAAACGTCACCTACTTCCCGTGCTTTCTCACTACGTCGACCCCGGTGCTCGGTCGAGCGTTTCTTCAGTCCGCATTCGTCGGGGTTAACTGGTTCAACGGGAACAACTCTGGCACGTGGTTCCTGGCACAAGCACCCGGCCCGGATTATGCCAGCGCAGACATCACCCGGATCGCAGTGAGTGACACGTCGCTTTCTGCCTCTAACGGTACCTGGGAGGATAGCTGGGCTAAGTACTGGGGCATCAAAACGACCGACAATACGAGTAGCTCCAAGGGTGGCCTGTCTTCCGGGGCCAAGATTGGGATCGGCGTTGGTGTGGGAGTCGGTGGAGCGGTGTTGATCGCAGCGGGTATCGCCATCGCATTTTGGCTTCGCCGTCGTCGCGTAGCGAGTCAAGAGCCAGCAGGAGAGCAGCGAAGGTCAATGTTTAGAGGGTTTGCAGAGTTGCCGGGAGGTGCTCACAGTGAAGCGGCCAAGGAGTTGGATACAAAGATGCATAAGCCGCCGCAGGAGATAATGGGTTCGCAGGTGGTAGAGCGATACGAGCTGGGCTAATTCTGATCTTGTTACGTCGAGATATATCTACAGTATACTACATGATACCATATATGTGCGAATATAATACCTATTTCCTTATGTCATCATGTATCTTGCATACGTTATAGTTTAATCGATGGCTTTGCTCTGATAGAACCATTTACTGCAACTTTTAGGTTTAATCCGGATACATAGTTATTCAAAGTGGCTCATTTTTCCATACCAGCAGTAAGCTGACTCTGTGTATTACTCATGAACACCACTCCTTCTCACCTCTTATGTACTGATGGATTGGTAAGTAGGGATTTGATCCTCGGAGATTGTGATTAGCAAAACACGTGGATCTAGACCCGATCGGGCGCGAGCTTGGCATCAACTCTATCAAGATGGCCCCACTCCAAAAGACTGCCTCTTTTGGGTATGACACCAGATGCATCCATGGTTTGATAGGGATGTAACATTGCCAGCACTATATTACAAATCCCAACACATAGCACCAAGGTCCATCTATATAAGATCGATCAACAGTCCCATCGCCCATCATCCTATTCACCTTCCACTCATCTCAAAACCCTCATCCTATACTCAGCAACCACTATACCCTTACATCAAGATGTGCCACGACAACATCTTCCTCAACGGCTGGACCAGCACTCCCGCCAACGCCGGCCTCATCTTCCCCGACAAGCCCTTCATCCACCCACCCACCCCCATCCCCGTCACCGACATCCCGTTCCCATCTACCGATCCCCTCGTCGCCAAGACCCTCGAATCCGTCCAATCCCTCCTCCCCCACGACACCATCAACCACTCTATGCGCGTATACTACTACGGTACCCCTCCCCGTATCCCAACCCTTACCACCCCTCACTAACCATCATTCAAGGAATGATCCTCCTAAAACAACAATTCCCCACCCACCCCCTCTCCCCCACAACCTGGGCCCTAACCTGCCTCCTGCACGACATCGGCACCGCTCCTACCCTCCTCACCGCAACGAACATGTCCTTCGACCTCTATGGCGGCATTTTCGCCCGCTCTATGTTAATCTCCTTCGACTGTCCCAGTGACATTGCAGATGCCGTAGCAGAAGCTATCATCCGGCATCAGGATCTCGGTGTCGATGGGAATATCACGTTCTTGGGACAGCTGATACAGTTGGCTACGATTTATGATAATGTGGGGGAGCATCCGCAGGTTAAGAACTTTGGAGAGTTGATTCATGAAGATACGAGGAGGGAGATAAATGAGCGCTGGAATAGAGAGGGGTGGTGTGGGGTGTTTGCTGATGTGCTGAGCGTGGAGGTGCGGGAGAAGCCGTGGTGTCATTCAACGCATATTGTCGGGTTTGAGGGGAAGGTTAGGGGGAATAAGCTTTTTGGGGAGTAGAAGGGAAGTATTGATTTAGGGGGTATGAGGGTGGTTGGTTCCACGGCTTATTGCGTTCAGTTGTGATTGTGATATGAAATGCGATTAGGATATAGTCAATGGATATATTGGTTTTTTCCAAGCTTTGCTCTACTTATGGACGAAGATTATTTACATGAAGACCCTTTTAGGGACGTTGTGAATAATCTTGTAGTAGCCCGTTCATCCTTCCTTGTGTGCTGTACTGTCGAATTTATGACGGCCATATCCGCTATTATCCATGGTTTGGGTCGGATAATCCCAGATTTGAATTGGTTTGTCATTGTATGCGTGTATAGCTGTAGAATTCGAAAGCATCCTAAGTGGTGGAGCTTGTTCTGTACCTGCCGTAGTGCAACCCATTTCTCGTAGGAATATTGGGATTTTTCTATGTTGTAGACCAAAGTAATGAGAAATTAAATGTCTTCATTGATACACGCCCTGATTAGCTGGCGACTACCACTGGTTTGAAAAAGAATGTCGGTGGATGCTATGAGGAACAAAGCAGAAAGAAAGCTTCGGTGGCTGAGACCATCGTACTACTACTATATAGTTACTCTGCCTTCCCACTGTTCTGTCCTCCATTCCTTCCACTCCACAATAAGCAATAGGCAGCCTTCCTAACACTCACTGACTCTAACAACGAGTGTCACAAACTACGTCGAAACTCAACATGGCACAGGACTCAGGTAGACCGCTTGAAGAGCTGCCCGTCGAGCTCCTTCAAGCGATCCTCGCTGCCGCGCCAGACATCAAAACCCTGGAGGTCGCCGTCATGACCGGACCATGCCTGTATAACGCCTTCAAAGGAGCAGAAGAGTTTATCGTGCGGTCAGTCGTGCTACGCCAATTCGATGATGATCTGCTGCATGATGTCTTAGCAACTCACGCATCCAGCAAAATTCAGGACTGGTCCATCGACCAAGCCGAAAAGTTCTTGACGCCATACTTTGCCCGCGACCAACACCATTTCGTCGACTCTATGGAATGGAAACTTTCTCAGGCTCGCTCGATAGACCAATTTGATGAGACCGTGCAGTACCTTGCCGACAGACTAGCGACAAAAGCATTGTCTAACCACACCGTCTGGAGTGGCATACTGTCCTGGGTTGTTCCACCAACCAAGTTGGAGAGAAACCGGATTAGTCGCAGTCTGTATCGATTCGAAACATTTTGCAATCTGTACCCGTCCTGGAAATATGCACTGAGATCTGACACCGGCAAACTGTATATCGATCATTTTGCACCATGGGAGAATGAACAATTAGTCTGCGTTTCCGAGTGCTTATATAAACAATTCATCCTCCGAGGTATGTTTCAGCTTTCTGCGTCCAACCTTTTCCGATGACACTATCCTATCAGAAACTGACTCTGAAAAAACAAATCCTAGTTTTTTCGGACCCCAAACTCAGTTCCAACTGGCCGGAGCCTATACCCCAAAAGCCTTCATGGATCTTTCAATCATACGTAGAGGCATATATAGAGTGTCACTTGTTTCGCGGCCTTACTCATATTCGACGGTTCGCGCTGGAGAAGGACACAGACTTACAACAAATTGCGCAAGTCGTACGTGAAGAACCAGTCGATGGTATGGGTGTCCACTCTTTCATCAAAGATATGACTCGTTTGCTCGGGCGGGAGGAAACGCCTGATCTCGGTGATTTTAATCCCGAGGACGAAGAAAAGTACATCCCTCGGCCATGGTTCCGTGACCCAGACAGTGGGCCTGAAGATATATGGCGATGGGCCAATCAATGGAACCAGCGGAAACACTTTTTTGCTGCTCGCAGTGCGCAAAGCTTGCGGTCGTGGTTATTTGTGATGTGGGATCGATGGCGCATTGACGAGATGCGTGTTTTGAATAAATCGCGGCCGTGGTCTTATGGTGATCGGTAGAATTCTATTTAGCAGTGAGAAAGACGACGGCTGGATTGCTTGAACACTGATATACTCGGAAACGCAGACTAGCCCAATACTACATCCCCTTGGACTCTGGTTGTAGGGGATATTCCATCGAATATTCTGTGATAATCGTAGTAGTGTTGTCTCGGTCCGGAGAGTGTGATTTCCAGTAGTCACTTCCTTTAGATTCTTTTGCTCACAGAGTATGCATATATCGATCTCTCTCTCTTTAGCCCCTCAGTTTCTATCAAAATCATAAGATTGTCGCCCGAAAAATAAATGCTCCAATCAATGATGCTCCATTACGCCCTTCACAGCCTAAACGAAGCAGATCCAATCCGCACTTATAATATCCAACGGATTCTGAACATCTAATATGACAACACCATCATACACCCACAAACTCAACCCTAATAAGGCCATACCTTTCCATGCAGTTCCCGTTGTTGATCATCCTCGGCTAGATTGATAAACTCGCTCTTAAAGTACTCACTCACCATCTTGGCATGTTCATACTCCTCCGGTCGAACCATCCCTCCAATCGGAATAAGTCCTTCTTCTTCTAACTGCTGAACGATGTTTGAAAGCGCCCCAAATAATTCCCTTTCGCGTTCATGTTCAGCTAGCTTATCGACATTAAAGTCGACCGGGAATGGTGTGTCGTCTTGCCGGAGTTGGTCCCAGTATGCGGAAACCTTGATCAAAGACTCACGCAGTGAGAAAGTGTCCTCGCGTTCCCAACATCCAGATATCAGATTAATGGGGGTGACTCGTGTCGATAGGTATGGGTCATTGAATGCCTCAGCTAGGGATGGATTTACTTTTTCTGTTGCTTTGTAGTAGTATTCGAGTAGCTCCTTTTCCCTGCTTCTTTGTTCTTCGCTGCCTGGGCTAAGTGAGAGTTCCAGCATTTGCGGGTGAGGATGTTGTAAAAATGATGGCGTTATGGCTGCGAGTTGCCAGTCTATGATGGAAGTGATCTGGTGTGTTTCAGGGTCGATGAATATATTGTCGAGGTGGAGGTCTGGATGTGACAGCGTATTAATGTTGTCGTAATCAGGACAGAGGTGTGGGGCGATGTCGAGATAACGCTGGAGAAGAGCCAGGTACTCGTTGGGATTTTCTGGAGTCTCCGTTGACCGGTAGTAGTTCATTCTTGGCTTTGCATGGCATCTTGCCCAATTCAGTTCGTTAACTCCCAGGGCAGTCACGTAATGGATAGGGTTGGTCCCTGGACGGTTGTCAGTAGAGTTGATATCGAAAGAGATGTTCTACCTCTTTGGAATATGACTTTATGTCTTACATGGTCCTCTATTCAGTTCCATCGAGTGCCTTTCATCATTCCACAATTTTCGGTCATTAGATGGTCCAATTGCGAAGCAGGACAACTGCTTGCAATCCTCTATCTTCAGACCTGACAGTTTCCTAAGCATAATGTCGAGGCCTTTAGCGTCAGGGACCTCCGATTTGAGGTCGGACGTGTAGTAGAGGCACCCTTGCATGGGGAACGATACAGATGCCAGTTTCCTCTCTATTTCAACAACTTGGTCAATAATCACAAATTGCGAGGACCTAGACATTCGGCCCCAAATACTCCCAAGCGAATATCCTGTGGCCTTTTTCTCTATGATATACTCAGCTCCGACTAAGTTCGACCTGTCTGTAGACCAGGCATAGATGCGCGGGACCGGAATCCCCAAGAACTCGCGGACCTGGCATCTGTCAGCATCTTCAACATCGCATGAAGAAACCTACATACAAATTTCGGGTGGCTACTTCCGAGGCCGTAGTAAAGAAAGCAGGGCCGGCGTTAGGGTTGGGCAACCTAGCAACAAGTTGTTCACCATTATCCATCGTCAATACGAAGGCTTTGTTGTACTGTCCTTCCATACATTTTGACACCTTCACGCCTGTTTGGTATAGTTAGCTGAACAGACTACAATCTTTCCAGAAGCTAGGAATTTACATCGCGCTCCCTTATGGTCAGTGGATAGATTGACTGTCTCAAGGAGGTTCTCTAGGTTGAATTCACGGTACCGTGCAGCCAGATGTTGGGGATCTCTCCTTCTAGTACTGTTATGAGATTAGTTGAACAAGCTCGAAATGTTTAGGTGCATACAGCCATCTGTATCGTTGATATTTGAACATCTCACCTTTATTCATGCGCACTTCTATGATTCATCAGTTTTAGTCGCACTATGAAGCCAAAAAGCGGTTACCTGAGCCATCTTCCAGGAGCCTGACTAGCACTGGCTTGATTCCAGAGCATAGGGTTGTGTGGGTAGTGACATCGCGTCTGACAAGGCGTGGTACAGCCCTACTAGTGAGGAGAAAGAATGATAGTCTTGGGAGCTGCATGCCTACATTGTGCACCATTGATTGAAGTGAAGGTCTTATCCCTGGATAATGTCGGCCTTAGATACTATTTTGGGTTGCCGGCACGTGGTACTAAGACGAGATAAGCTCTGTCACGTGAAATGCTTGACTCGCATCTTAGGCATCAGCCAAGCTCAATATTATCTTCTCCTTCAATTCATCCTACAACTCAATTCATTTGTCGGAAGTCTTAGTCTTTCTAGGACCCATAAGGGTGGTAATAAACTCACAGTGATTTCCTACAGTTTCAGGCACACAGACATTCATTTTAGCATCCTACGAGGATGGTTTACAGTGGGAAACCAAGTCTAGCCTGCGAACGCTGTCGCCCGCGGCGCCTAAAGGTACCGGCGTGTCTCTAATTTGTGGTTTATTCTACTTTACCAACTTTGTGATCAGCCGTCATGTACGGTGGTAGACGCGGAGAGGGGCAGAGTGAATGGTTTAGATGTTGAAATAAGCTAAACAAAAACTGCCATCCGATAGTGCGATTGGGGGAAACCAGCATGCTCCCAGTGCATTCGGGCCAAAGTCGACTGTCCCGGGTATCGATCTGCTCTGGAGTATACCTTTCGTGACCAGAGTCGTGATGTTATTCGCAAGGCACAACTCAAAGCCGAAAAGGAATCCAAAGAAATTAGCAAGCGACAAAAGCGGACCGTCAAGGGTGACAGCAACGAAATGCTGACTTACTCGCCTTCACCTTCCTCAAGCCTATCGCATTCAACCGCAGAACTGGCGAAGGGATATCTCTTTGTGAATTACATTGCCAAGGGCGATCGAGGGGCGTATATGCCGTACCTTTCGACTTTGACGAATCATTTGGAGAGCTCCGCTGTGGACGATGCTCTTACGGCTGCCGGTCTGGCGGCCTTGTCCAATATTCATAGGTCTCCCCAGATGATGTATACAGCCCGTAAACATTATATGTCCGCGTTGTCGCTAACTAATAACTCTCTCGGTAACCCGCATTTGTGTACGAGGGATGAGACTTTAGCAACAGTGGTGCTATTGAGCATGTTTGAAGTGAGAGACTCACCTCAGTAGCAACCTGGCTTATATTAACGAGATTTTTCCCAGGTATTGACCTGCGGCGATGACCTCTTTATGACAAGATGGATAAAGCACTTAGATGGCGCGGCAATTTTGATTGAGACCAGGGGTCGAGAGCAATTATCTCGACCGGAAGGATTGGCGCTATTCAGTCAGTTACGTACCCAGATAGTGAGTTAACCTACTCGGATCCTCAGTTAGATCTCTTTCACTGAGAAAACTATAAAACTATTCCGAGAAGATACTAATCAGGATCTAATTAGGTGCTCAGTCATGTGTACCGACAAAAGCATACATCGGCAGTGATTCGTAATCTCAGCCAAGAAGCAGCAAAATACCGACCGAATAAAGATGATGCAATTATCGATCGACTTAGTGGCGTGACCATTCCTCTCGGGGATCTCTGTGCAGATATAAAGGAGGGTACAATAAGCTGCCCTTCGAAGATAGTGCGTTGTGCCTTAGAATTAGACGCACAGCTCCAATCGATAATGTCCGATATACCTGCTTCAATGGGCTACAGGACTGTCAACGTTGCCCTAGCTCACAGAGTGCATATGGATAACACTGTTTGGGGAGCCCAATATCACACTTACCGAGATATTACCGTGAGTAGCTTCTGGAACAACTATCGATCTGCCAGGCTGGTACTCCTGGAATTGATCGTTGAAGCAATCAGAGCCATGAAGACTCCTTTGCTCGGCAACACAAAAGAAGCACATCATCATGTATTGCGGCAATGCCAGGAAATATCCCGTCAATTAGTTGAGGATATTTGCGCAAGTGTGCCATTTCATCTCGGATCGGTTGTGGACGACAACCATGTCGACAAAACCTCCAGTCATTTAACCCTTCAGAGCTCGTCAGACATAGATATGCATCATGCATCTAAGTCGCCTCGCTTGTCCTCTGGGTCTCCATTGGTGGTTCCAGCGGCCGGGGGTTTCGCCTTAATGTGGCCTTTGTTGATTGCTGCGGATTCTGGTTATGCGTCCAAGGAACTTCGAGCTTGGATCATAGATTGTTTAAGCAGAATTGGCCGTTCTATGGGAATCAACCAGGCATTAGCAATGGCACAACTGGTACGAGAGGGCGAGAGTACGCGGGCCTGGCTATCTCCGGAGCATTCTCCATCGGAACGAGACATCGAGAGGGGGCAGTGTTGAACGAAGCCGGAGCTCTACAGACAGATGACAACGCCTTCCGCTTCTCTACACTAATTTAGTATGATTCAGGCATGACGAAGGTTTTCGACTTTTCGACTTCTCAAACAACAAATGCGTTTAAATGAAAGACGGCAAAAAGCCAACTTTATTATCAAACTCTCAACTTCCAGACTTTTGTTTGTCTAATTTCTCGCCAAATGGTAGACGCGACTACCGGGAGCTGTTGCATTCGGCTAAACTGGCTCGTACCCGCCAAGGCTACGAGAATTGCGAGGATCAAGAGGCGAAGTATGGAACTGCGTATTCCCGGACTGGTATGGCTGTTTCTGAGACATTGAATCTGTCCTGTTCACTGCCACTTCAGAACGAGGAGTAAACACGCCCAGCACGGTGTACATCAGAACCACAAGGAATTCCTCGATGGTGGTCATGCAAAGCCGGATAGTCACATTTCCATCGACCAAGGAAAATTGACGGTCATGGCTGAAATCGGTGATAAGACTGTACAGCAGACGACAAGCTATCAATGGCAACGCTAACAGGGCCACGCCGACGATACGCTTTTGGCTTGGTGCCATCCGAGGGAGGTCCCTGACCGTTGTCGACCACAGGATGCAAAGAACGACGTATATTGCGAGGAACAGTATAATTCCAGCTCTGGTTTCGTTTTGTCCTTCAGAATGTTCGGATGTATTCGACGAGTATTGGTTGATTCCGCCAATGATTGAAAGAATCAAGGCAATAAGGGCTGGGATATGGAGTAACTCAACGACTTTACTGCGACCAGAGATAGCGGTTGCTTTCTTGTTATAGATTCCTAGACTAAATTCAATTGTGTCAGCGTCAAAACTTCCCCGGATTAAGTATTGATTCTTACATCTTCGTTGCGACAATGCTGAAGGAACTCAATCTCTGCAATAGTGAAGTGGCTTGGGAGCCTTGGGCTGATGGCCTATGGTCGCAAATCTCATCGAAACTATCAATTGTGAGTTTCTTGATGGGGTCAAATCAACAAGGTTGTTTAGGAGATAACATACACTCTCTTCAATAAGCCAAGACTAGACAGCAGCAGTGGAGAGAGCCCCACTGACTGCAATATGATAGCCCACTCCACATCTGAGGTGTTGTCTGGATGCAAATCACTGAGGATCTCCATCACAGCACCTGCGATTCTAATTCCGCTGAATATGAAGAGGTAGATCCACCCGAGCTGTCTGTGAAAGCCATGGAGGAGGACGACGAAGAGAGTAACCAAGGATATGGGTATATAGACGATTAACTCGGCAATCGCAACTCCTTTTTCTGTGACGACAGTCATTTTTGGTATTGATCCAACTAGTACGCGGACAGAATGACACAACAATTTGCACTTTCTTTATCTTCCGAGTAACTTGAATGGTTCAAAATCTGTATCAGCATAGCTCCGAGCTCCAGCATGGCCGGATGCGACTTTTATAGACAAGCCATCCATAAAAGTCTACCATGCAAGCCTTTTCTTCCACAAAATCCTTTGAAGTCTCGTATGTCCGTACGAAACACATCACCCCTTTTGGCAAGTATCCTCGTTCGGTGGCTGAGACGTGGCCTACAAGAACAAGGCAGCAGCATCGGATCGGAGGAATTTTCCGTTTGATACGTTAAAACTCCATTCTCGACTAATGCCAAGCTACGTACCAAAATGCTTGTCTGAGCGCAGCCCTTTTTTAAACATTATGGGCGATGCCTAATGACGTGGGGCTGAGTTCACGTTGCAAGGCTTCGTTTTCTTTGACTTTTTGAGCTGCCGGCTACCCCGCGTTACCGCATCGGGAAATCTTATTCGTGCCTACGAATCACTTTCCAGATTAGGGCTAGCCTCATCCGCATATAAGATGCTGTTACGATTGGTCAACTTTCTAACTGACGGACATGGAAATATGACTGCATCGGGATACAGTTACGTGCAACACATTTATCCTGTTACATGCACTGCCAGAGAATCATGGTTTGGGCACAGAGGCTCAGAGAGGCGCAGCTCAGTGCTGTCAATGCGTCTGATGTCAGTACTTGTCCGAATTGATGTTGTATAAGATCAAGGAGTTGGGCAGAGACCATATAAATATCACTGCTCATCTCAAGCATTCAATTGAATTCTATACTGCCCATCTGAATTATTCAAATCTTGTTTAGAGGCTCAGCTGAGAAGACCAAGAAGACGCGATAGCTTCAGCTTCACATCAAGATGCTATCCCACAAAATCCTCTCCCTAGCCTCCCTCATAGGGCTATCTCTAGCCCTCCCCAAGGCCAGATCCCCCAAGCTCGACTCCAACCCCATCCCCGGCGAATCCCCCCTCTTCGCAACATACACCGGCAAGCCCACCCCCATCCCAGCCAACTACACCCGAGTCATCCCAGCAACAGCCTCCGGCCCCGCGGGTCCCGACGACCTCCTCTTCCAAAACCTCCTCAGCGCCGAATGGATCATCTACTCATTCTACCAACAAGGAGTCGAATCCTTCACCCCCTCCTCCTTCAGCGACCTCGGCTACCCAAACAGCACCTACGACCGCATCGCCGAAATCCGCGACAACGAAGCCGGCCACATCCGCATCTTCCAAGACGAAATCTCCTCTACATCCCTGAAGCCAGGCCCTTGCAACTACAGCTTCGGCTTCGACAACGACCCAGAAACCTTCCTCGCCCTTCAAGTCTATATCGAAGTTAACAGCATGGCCTTCCTGACCGGCCTCGTCCGCGAATCCAACACAACCGATACCAGCTCCGCACTTGTCGCCGTTGC